AGCTTTGAATATTCCAATACAGAAAGTTGCAGAAGATTCAAATGGTTATTTGAAGCACCAAACCCAAGTTAAACAATAACCTGTTGTCCAGCCCATCCAGCATTCAGGAGCACATGGACATGGCAATCACAGGGGCTGTGTTCCAGAAAGCTCCTCTAACACTTGCAAGACACTGAACTGTGTGATCTGCTGGCAGATGATCAGGGAAGAGCTTTTAGCTCCTGTTTCTCCTCTGTTTAAGGTTTTCTTTTTGATCCATTTTTCAGCCTCCAGGGCTGCTCATGTCCCATGAGGCTGATGAAGGAGTTCCTGAGCACAGAATAAAGAACAGAATATTCATCTGCTCCAAATTCCTGGAAACTTGCAAGAGAAGAGAAAAATCTGCAATATTTTCTCTGTAAGATTTCCCTATTAAGCCACATTTTCCTCTTCTGTGCAGACAACTGGTTCAAAGCAACATGGAGACTTGATGCCAGGCCCTGCTCTCCTCCTGCCCTGCCGTGGTGCAGAGCAGGAGCAGATGGTGCAGTGCAGTGGAAAATCAGGTCTCCCAGAAAATACAGAGCTGAAAATAAAATACCCTCAAGCAGAAAGCTACTTGGCTTATCTCAGGATAAAATGAAGAAATTGAGATACTTGGGCAAAAAATAGAACATGCCTTCAGAGCAGCGTGTTCCACTGGCATGAACTGCCTCGCTCCTTCCCTGCTCATCTGAAGGCTCATCTCGTTTGTTGTCTCTCAGTTCATTGATTTGGTTTCTCAGGGCATTCATGTGGCTGTTCTTTGCTGAACTAACAAGCGTGGTGATTGCTGAATTTCCTTTCCTTTTTACTTTCTTGCACACCCAGGACAAGCCTTTCAGGATTTCTTCCCGCTCAGGCTGCAGCATGACCTGAATTGCATCCATTGTTGTTTAAATCCACTGGGGCATACTCATCTAGCCAAGAAAAGTCAGAATATTACGTCAAAACTTCAATTCTGGTTTTCTATTTGTGCATAAAGAGGTAAATTACCTCTGAACATGTGACCATTTCTTCCATGAAGTTCCTAGTTTAGTGCCTGCAGCCTCTGCAAGTGTGACCCTTGGAGTTCCTGACATGCCCCGAATTCTCTTTGCTCCCATCCCAAAAGTTAGCTCTGCTCCAGCCAAATTCCAGCTTCTGACATCCTCTGCTTGCACTGGAGTGCCAGGAGTCAGTGCTAGGGTGGGGAAACTCCTCATGCACTCACTGTGCTCTCGTGTTAAAGTGCTCCTTGGTTACCTCTGGCCTGGCTGCCTTTCGGTGACCCAGATCCTGTTCATACTGGCTGAAAAATCATTTAGAAATCTTGGTATAAAAGGGTATTTAACATTAAAATGTCCTAGCATTTATTTAGCTGGAGAAAACAACAGAAACAAACAACTGGTTCTTCTCACTGCTGTAGATGAAATAGGTTCTCTGAGCTTACATCCTTGGGTCTGATTTCTTTTTATCTCTGCAGTGACCCCCCGGGTGGCACCTGAGACTTGTGGGGTTCTGGATCCTTCTGAGGGATGTGCCTGAAAAGGAACCAGCTCCGTCCAGCAGAAGGGCACTGAGATGAGCCTTAGATGGAGGGAAGACCTCTTCCTCATTATTATTTATAATCAATCCGTGCATCAGCCTTGCTGGGAAAAATTCCAAGACTTTGCAAATTATTAAAGCAACAAGGAAGATTCTGCTGCCCCAGAGATTTGCTTCTTTTATTTTTTCCAAAGGGAAAAGGAATGCCCAGGGTGCCTGGAGTCAAGTTTGGTGGGAAATATGAAGAGGCTGTCTATGCAAATATCAATGGCCCTTTCTCTGTAACTTACTGCACAGGGAACAAACAGGGTTTCCAAGGCAGGGTAAACACAACCACATACCAGCCACACTCCAGAGTGACTCACACATGCTGCAGAGAAGGGAGGAACTTCTCTGCCTCCAGCTGGACACATCTGGGAGAGGAGGATGAGATTTACCTCACTTTGAGAATGTTTTATAAATATTCAGTCAACCAGGATTTGTTCTGAATAATTCCACATCTCGGCAGATGTGAAAGGCAAATCCTTGGAAGATAAAGGAGTCAGACAAGGCAGGTGCTTGTTCCCTGAACAGTGTTCAAATCCACAAGGGAGTATTGCTAAAGGTACAACCCGATGGTGCTGGAAGCCATCACTAACCCTTTGTGAGCAGTTTATCCCAGTCTTTCCAACACTTGAGCTGTTTAAAAGAATTTAGCTGTTGGGAATGAAGAGTAAGAGAGGGTGGGTAAGTCTGTGGTAAGTCTGTGGTAGCTACTGAGCCCCGGGCACGGGTCAGACACAGTGTGACATGGGCTTTGCCACCTGCTGGGAGGTTGGAGACAAGTGCTTTGTAGTCTGGAAGAGTGAGAACCTGACCTGGAGCATCAGGCACCTCACGGGTGTGAGGTCCTTTACCCAAAGCTGGTACGTTGGTCTGTAGATTCAGAGGAAAACAAATCTTGGATGGAATTAAAATCAAGTGTGTAATGTGCACTTTGCAACAGGAACAAGTGGTGAGCCTGGCACTGGGGAATGAAACATGGACACAGGAGATAGAGGAGCAAGTTTTCTTATCAATCCCAAAAGCTAGATGTTGGTTTATGGCCCCAAGCTAGAGAGTTCATGTCCCTTCATAAGAACAATTTTTAAAATATTACAGCTCAGAACAAGGACTTACCTGCTTCATTCCCTAAATTAAGTCCTTCCCCAGGACCTATTCTGCTTGCAGAGTTTTCAGATTAATCATCAAGATTTTCAAAGGCTGCTCTGAGCAGGGACACTTCCTTTGGATCTTGCTGCAAGCAAAAGCAAACCAGTGCCATGGAAACCTGCAGGTCCCTCCTGGCTGGGCTGGCATGTGGATGAGGAGACCATGAATTCAGGACCTGAGAGTCCCTGAGGGAAAACGAGGCCTGAAGGCTGAGAATTGCTGCCCACACGCATGGCAGGGTGCAGAGAGTTTAACACAAAGTTCTGTGACAATAAGGGTTAAGGGAAACACAAAACCTTTAATGAGATCAACTGATGCAGCAGCAGGAGCATGACCTAAATCTAGCCCAGTCAGCAGGGGCTAGAGGCAGAGGGACAGTCCAGCTGGCAGCCCTGGTGTCAGAGGCATGATGGTTTGGAATCCATCCCTCCAGCATCCCATGGAAAATGAAACAAGTTCCTACAGACAGCAGCATCTTTCTGAATTGAGGTGATGTATCTGAAGGTCTCATTAACAATGCAGCAGAGAAGAACGTGTCTGCAAATCTCCTTGTTCATATTGTTCTCAGGGGAGAAGGGGAGTCAGGGAGGACAAGAGAGAGGGGGAGCAGCTCATTGTGGTGCCTCTTTGGGGCTGTTTTATCACCTCCTCTCTGCCCTTCTCCCCTGGGAACAGTCACTCCTGACTGTTCTTTGTTGTCTGTTCAAATCACATCAATTTAAAAGGGTTTGAGAGACTGTATTTAATCAAATGTTTGTTATGTCCAGGTGTCTTTGTCTGTGTCCTTTCCCAGATTTATCCAGAGATAATTATCTCATGTTGGAGACTCGTTTCCCCTGGAGGACCAACAGGAATATCCACTTAAAATTAAAAAATAATTGGAACTAACAGAGTCCTTGTCAATTGTTATCCTGTCATCTCTGCTCCTGGGCACAGCCTTGTCCCTGCCATCTGGTCTGCCCCGAGTTGGGAGAGGTAAGCTCTGCCCTGCTCAGTCCTGCAGAGCCCCACTGCTGGTTGCTACTCAGATATCTGTACGAAAATATCACCATACTAAAGAATAACAACTGAACAGAATCTGCCAGACGTTTTCTTCCCTGTCAGGAACACAAGCAGGAGGAGCTTCAGAGGCGGGACAGCCCGGGGTGCTGCAAAGCCACTCACACTCACTGACACCAGGAGTGACCCGGTCTGTGTGCTGTGCAGGGGAAGCCACTGCTGAGGTTTTCAAACCCCACTGCAACGAGTGGCAGCTGCAGGTCCTGAGCCCCCGAGCTGACGTGACGATGGAGCCCGACGGGCACAGCAACAGAACGATCCTCCGGAGGGAGGTGAGAAAGGCGCCTGTACAGGTTATTACACTTGGCCTCTGCTGAAGCGAACGCGGTGCTATGTGTGTATCGGCAGCACCCGGGCTTCTAAGCCCTGTTGAACGAGGAGCTCTGTAAGGCCGGGACGGCGGCAGCGGCACCCGAGGGGCGGGGCGGGGGGACCGGCACAGGCCCCGGTACAGGCCCCGGCG